TGATGATGTCTCCTTTCGATTTGTTCGTCATGATGATTCTCGTGGTCAAGGGCAAAGTGTGACCCATGAGTTGAAACGAGCGGACATCGAAGGAATGACTGGGGAAGATTTGTGCAAGCTCCCGCAACAGCGCAACTCTGTTTTGGTGGATGAATCAACTTGGAATATGGTGAAGAAAGGCAAGCTGGTGATGTACTTTAAATGGAAGGGAAGTTCCGCGAGGTGGCAATTACCCCACGATGCCTTTTTCAAGCTTGATGCATCCAAAATCTTGTCACTTGGTTGTGAACAAAAGCCTCTCACCGTGACGGTTAGCGTTGGGACCAGTCCCCCGTTCTAGAACCCCCTCTCAGATGGGATCCAGGCTCACGGTTCTGGACTACCGGTAGTTTGTGGTTTTCTTGGGATACTATGCAATTAATCTTTACTTTTAAATGTCGGGCTCATCGCAGTGGCCGGTTAGGGTTGGGACCACTCCCCCATTCTAGAGCCCCCTTTCAGATGTCACTGAACTGGTTGCTGTTGTGATCCTGGCTCACCGAACTGGCCTCCTAGTTTACGTATGTTGGTTACTATGCAATTAATGCTTACTTTTGTATGTTCCTCCTGTGTGGCAAGGTGGACGGTGACATCATCCGAATGCTAGGACGCTGTCACAGTGATGCCATGATGGGATACCTGCATCTACAGGCACAAAAATTTCATGAAACAATTCGCCAGTGTCATGTTCAACAATAGCACTTACACCTTCCTTCCAGACGATACGGCCCCATAGTGCAAGTTGTGATCCAGTTTCACCGTGCTGGCCTCCTTCATGATTTTCTTTGGTTACTTGCAATCAATCTTTACTTTTGTATGTCAGGCTCACCGTACTGACCTACCGTAGCTAGCTAGATAGTTTCTGTTTTTCTTTGGTTTTACTATGCAATTAATCTTTACTTCTGTTGTATGTCGCTTCCTTTCGTCTTTTCCTTTTTCTTCATTTATTTCCTAAACATTGAATCATTTCTTCTTTCATTCCTTCAAAAACGACAAGCTATGTGTTTTCCTCTCGTTTTCGAGACATCACCCCGTCTACTGTCAGTCAGTCGTTTGTTCGTCGTGCTGCGCCCTTCGCTCGGCTGCTTTGCTTTGCTTAGCACATGGCGCTGGACGGATCATCGTCCGAGTCTTCTTCATACACCACCGGAGCGGGCGCCGATTGCCCACGAGCACTTCGACTGGGAGCTTCACTCACGAGGGTGGTATCTTGCGTGAGATCATCGGGAAAGTCTTCTTGGTCACCTCCCACCCATGCCGGTGGATCTTCGGGCGGTGGGGGTGGCACACCACCAGCAGCGGACGGTGGCGCACCCGGTGGAGGAGGTGGTGGTGGAACTCCCTGAAGCCGACTGGCACTGGTCATGGCGACGACATTGAGTCCACCGCTCTTTTCCCAGTTCTCGGATTCTCCCAAATCCTCGGGAATGTGCAAGAGACGTCGGTTGGTACGACGACGCGCCGCCGCTACAGCCTTTTGATAGGCGATATCTTGACTGTCAATGGGTTCGCCATCATCATCCGTTTCTTCCTTCATGAGTCCATCTTGTTCCAAGAGAGCCTGTTCGGCGTCACGCTTTTCCCGTTCCCCCTGAATGGTTTCCATGGGATGCGCACACCAGCAAGGACAGACCTTGTTCATCATGACCTTCTTTTGGTATTCCAAGTAGAATTCCTTGACTTCGGCAGCTCTCGCACACTGCTGGGGCTTGGCATCACGACCATTGAGCATATCAATGGCTTCGGGGTATTCGTGTACCAACTTGTCGACGACTTCGATTTGGGCGTACTTGCCACGACTGGCCATGTGCAAGGGGAGACTTCCATTAATAGTCGTCGCCATGAGACCTTCGGGATAAACCTTCAAGAGGAGCTCGAGTACTTCCAATTTGGGACGGAATGGTTTTCCTTCGCATGCCACATGCAACGGCGTCAATCCTTTGCGATCGGGTTCCAAGACACAGTAGGGATGCGCATCAATAATGGCTTCGACACATTCGACGGGCAAACGATTGACAACGGCCAAATGCAAGGGATTGCGTCCATCCGCTTTCGTGGGATGCTTCATGGCTTGGGGGTAATGATCCAACAACAAGTTGATAATCTCGATAGGCGCCTGTTTGGTACACGCATGATGCAAGGGCGTCAAACTCTTGTTGTCACTAATCATGCGAATCTGCGAATACTTTTCAATCATCATGCGGGCGACGAGAATACTGGAATTCTTTTCACTTGCGTAATGCACGGGCGTGCATCCCATCTTGTCCATTTTAGTCACAGCCTTGGGGTACTTATCAACGAGTATCTGAATGAGTTTCAAATTGGCCTTGCCGCCCTTGCAGGCAATATGGAGTGGCAACAATCGATTGTTGTCTCCCGTCTTGATTCCTTCGGGGTACTGTTCGAGTAAGAAATTGATAATCTCGAGGGGCGCGCCATTGCGACACGCGGCATGGAGTGGCAAATTGCCCCCCTTGTCGGTATCAAAGATCGCTTCGGTGTGTTCCTTGAAGACGTACTCGACAATTTCAAACGTGGCGCCGTCGGCCGCGGCACGGTACAGCGGCAAGCGTCCCCAGGAATCCTTCATGGAGAGCGCTTCCGGATGATGATCGACGAGCATCTTGATGGTTTCGAGCGACGCGCCGTTGGAAATGGCAATGGCGACATGGGTCTTTCCAAAACTACGCGCTTTACTAGCCGCCACGGGATGCTGTTCAATCAACCACTCAATCGTATCAATGGGCGACTTGTTCTCACAGGCGATCTCGAGTGGCATGACACCTCTCATTTCCGTCTTTTTCTTCATGGCTCCGGGATACTCTTCATAGATCATTTCGAGCAATTCAATGTCCCGCTTGTACGCGACGGCAATATGAAAGGGCAAACGTCCCGTCTTGTCGGTTTCTTCACAGGCTTCACTGTAGTGATCCAACAACATTTGAATGACTTCCATGGGCGCATCGAATTGGATGGCCACGTGGAGTGGCAATTTGCCATTGTCGGGATTCTTGGTCTTGACGGCTTTGGGCCAAGTTCCAATCAAGAACTGGACCACATCGGCATCGGCTTGTGTCGCGCAGGCAATGTGGAGCGGGTAGTTGCCCTTTAGGTCGCGTTGACGAATCGTCCTCCAGCCGACCAAATGCGACCATTCTTCCATGGGTTCACTCTCCCAGAGCGCCTTGTGAAGCGGAGGATTCTCCGGGGGTGGCCGCGGGTTGTCTGGGTCTTCCGGGAACGGCCACATGTCGGGATGCGGGATTTTCTTCAAAATTTGGGCTGCCATGGTGATGCTTGTTTGTTTGGTTGCTGGGTTCTACTGTATCTACTACTGACTACTTGCTAGAAAGAGGAGGCTTTGGAAGAGGATGAATGAATGCAACTGCTTTGTGAATCAATGAATCGAATCAAGGAGCCGCTGTTAGTAGCCACAACAACAACAAGGCTTGCTCGAAGTGGTCTTTGTAATGCCAACAAGAGATGGAAGAATACAGGTCTTGGACAATTTGCTTGCTGCTCTTGTTGTTGCGGTGTTGCTTATTGCTGGTTGAGCTGTTCCTTGTTCAAGATGGGATCGGGTGACCTCCAGTACAATTCTACAGTCATACAATTTTAGACTGTCCAGGTAGAGACGCTCACAAAGATTACCAAATTGGTCATTACATTCACCACTATTTAACTGTAGTCTACTCCACTGCCAGTTTTTTTTTGGTGAACGCTAGATTTAGTAGGCATCTTGCTCGCAAACCCATGGCTTTAAATCCGTGTTGGAATTTTTGGCACGCTACTCGTGATTCTCTGTGACTTGTGACAGTAGATAGATGACTTGGTCACTTTTGTTCCGCACAAAATGACTGCTTCTGTATTTTCAGTGATCTCATAAAGTAAGGTTAGAGCTAAATGTGTGTTCAGTGGACAGAGGAATTGGTCCCCAAGAAGCGACCATGGCCACAGCTTTTTCTTGGATCTTTGACTGCCGTCGTCCAAAACAAACACCATACAGTTCGATCGCCAACCACTGCAATCCATCTGCATCTATTGGTTCTGAGGTCGTGAAAGATCCCATCTGAAGTACCACCAACATCACCATGACACACATTATTTCCAAGATATCCCGCTGCGTCTCTCGCTTGTCGGTGGTGTCAAGACAGCAGCATCTGCCCATCATTACTACTGCCACTACAAGCACTACCTATTGTTGTCGAAGTTATTCTCGACCCACGACACCATCCCAAATGCCGCTAGAACCTGGGACTCCGATTCAAGGAATGGACTTTTTCAAAGGTGGTGACAGTCAAGAACCCATTGTGGCACTCGACCGAAACGAGTATCCCGGATGGGTCAATACGTTGGCATCGCCACTGCCCAGTTTGGCAAAACTCCGTAAAATGCCAGAAGAAGAGGCAGATGATAAATTGAAAATGAGATATCTCAAACTCAAACGACGCATGGTCATCAAGGAAAGTAATATAGGGAGGGCAAAATAGAAATAGTGGAGAGAGAGGCTGGAAGTGGAGGACGTATTGTGCTCCGTCGAGTACCACACTGCATACTAGTACATGTTGACCCATTGACAGCTATCTATCTAGATATTCTAAAAGGCCCAAGGAAAGATCCAGCAATATGCCTGTTCATGGAAACAAACAAAGCACTAGTTTAATGTACCGTAATGTCTAGCTAGCTAGAGGCTGGCTTGCTGGCTAAGAGAATGGTTGTCACCCCAAACCTTGCTATGTTCTTTTGTCACCCTTCCCAGACCAAGCGTACCGCTATGTGTAGTTCTGACCTCCTGTCCACTGGCAAGAGTCTGGAGTCCGGAAGATTGATACAGGGTAGGTAGGTACTCTGTTCACCTGTTGTCCGAACCAAAGGCAGCACCAGCGTGTCTCCCTTCCCGTAGTACAGTTTCCAAGATGAAGCAGCCCACCCTAAAAGAAAGCAGGGTCAGCTTCCTTCATGTAGTTGACTTTACTACCGGTAGTGCTTTCCCCAGATATGACCCTATTGCTGCAAAGTAGGAAGTCAGCTCGTGGCAAGCAAACAACTTGTGTCACAACCACTAGCTCGATATGCCGTACTGCATTGGTAGAGCAGCATCAGCCATAAGCGATGCACCGAAAGCAAACCTCAAGATTCCACTGTATATACAGCTCCTGTATATATACTATAGGAGCTGATGTGGTGGTCTCTGTCTTGCCTTGACCGCAACAGTCGTAGGCACATCATCACTTTGCTTCAACTGGCCTGATCAATAAAGAAGAGAGCTTCAGGGCGCAGCTTAGCGGGTGGCTGATACTACAAACCTGCGCCACTGAACAAGTGGCAGGGCCAAATCATCATTCAACCGGATTTGGTCTTTGAGCCATGGATATTATGTTTTTTTGCACTCAGCCACTCCCAAGTAAGTGGATTTTGGCACGGGTCTGAAGTCTGAAGCCCATGTTTGCTTCCAGGTCGGTCACGAGCGGCCACAGCTAGATCTATTGTGGGCCGCTGCTGGCTGCACATTCTGAAGGCGCAGTCCCCAAGTGCCTCGCAGCAGTATGAGCAAATCCTCAGGTTGCTTGTTGGTTTGAGCAGGCCAGCCAGTCTAGTCTGCAAAGGACGCAAGGAATCAGTCGCTGTTGAGTGTGCGTTTTACCTCGGCAGGTTAACTGCCTGAGTTCTCAACCCCTTTACCTCGGCAGGTAAACTGCCTGAGTTCTCAACCCCTTTAATGCTATTTCCTATTTCCTATTTCCTATTTCCTATATCCTATTTCCTATTTCCTATTCCGGTGAAGCCAAAGTATAAGGATAGAGATAGTCATAAGCCAACAAAACTGAACATTGATGGTTCAATACAAGTTAGGGGTAGGAATAAATCATTAATATTTAAGGTTAGTGCAATCATCACAACAGCACAATAAGCCAGCAGGATTTTTAAAGGTTAGAGTTACAATAAGGGAATGGCAGCTGGTAAATTATAGAGTAGCGGGCGGCAACACATGACGTAGTGTCAGGGCTAGCTTAATAAAAAGAAGGTTGCAATGAGGGAATGAATGATACCGGGCGGCAACACACGACGTAGTCGGGTGTTGTCGCCGGGGCTAGCTTGAAAGATGGGTGCAATCCGAACATAATCCCCCTTCTTCTATCGCAGCTCCCGCTGACTTAAATGCTATTTCCTATTCCGGTGAAGCCAAAATATAGGGATAGAGATAGTCTTAAGCCAACAAAACTGGAAATTGAAGGTTCTACAAATTTAGGGGTAGGAATAAATCATGATTATTCAAGGTTAGTGCACTCAACACAATAAGCCTACAGAAGCTACAAAGAATACAATTACATAAGGGAATGACAGCTGTAAAATTATGGTTAGCGGGCGGCAACACACTACGAAGTCGGGTGTTGTCGCCAGGGCTAGCTTAAATAAAAAAGAAGGTTACAATGAGGGAATGATACCGGGCGGCAACACACGACGAAGTCGGGTGTTGTCGCCAGGGCTATCTTGAAAGAAGGGTGCAATCTCAAACATGATCCTTGTTCTTCTATTTGTCTTTCTGCCGAGGTATCGCAGCTCCCGCTGACTTAATGACCTTTGCTTTGAGCCATTCTCGTCGCTACAGTACCAGCTGCTAGCTACTAGCTAGCTCCAGCTAGAGCCAAGTTCTGCCGTCACTTACTCAATTGAGAGACTTGAGGCTTCCTGCTTTTCGGCTCCCTCCAAGCCAGCATTAAAACAGCAGTACATGTACCACTTTCGCATTGACCGCGGTGGGGTCCTCGAAAGAAGCTCTTATTGTTCCGGTGCGTGCTGTAATCGTGATAGCCCTGGGGTGCGCACCACCAGGTACTAGCTAGCTAGTAGTACATGAACTTGTTTGAGATTGAATGATCTCATACTCTTGAGCTGATGGTGCACAACCTGATTGCTCGCCCCTGGACCGTCCGACGGTTTTTGCTCAGGTTTAAAAACTGCTCAAATTGTGGTTCTCGTTAAGGGAATGTTAAGGGAATGTTGAAGCTTTAAGGGAATGTTAAGGGAATGTTGAGGATTTAAGGGAATGTTTTAAGGGAATGTTTATTTAAGGGAATGTTCATTTTTTTTAAGGGAATGTTCTATGGGGTTTACATGAAGGCTTAGAGGAATGTTTCGAAGCCTTAAGGGAATGTTGTTAAGGGAATGTTGATTTAAGGGAATGTTAAGGGAATGTTGAGGATTTAAGGGAATGTTTTAAGGGAATGTTTAGGGGAATGTTTCCACTGCGATATTTTGAGTTTTTTTAAAACCTGAGGGAAAACTGTTGGACGGACCTGCTCGCCAGGATACTCGAAGCCCAATAAAAATAGGTAACCATCTCTTGATGTCTACTCGCACCGTGCATGTAGACTACTAGATACCCGCATCGTTCTTTCAGAAGCCGACTGCTACGAAGTACCGGTACTGTGCCAGGTACCAAAGGTTTCTAGGGAGCCAGCTTGGAAAAAACATGGGGCTGGTAGGTGGCTGTGCGGTCTCTGCGGTCAGGCAACCAACCGCTAGCTAGCTATCGTAGTTGATAGAGACAAGAGACAGTGTCGTAGTAGTACTATAGCCATTGCTAGCTAGCTACCGTACCAGTAGCTAAAGAGAGAATGGCCAAGTTCAAGAAGGGCAAGAAGGGTGGGAAAAGCCAACAAAAGCAGAATGACCATCATGGCAACAGCAACATGGTTGGAAGACTGACGGACATGACGATTCGAGTCGTGCATAAATGGATCCTAATCAAGTTTTGGGACCCGTTTCAAAAATGTATTAAAGCTACTTTTTGAGCTCTAATGCATTTTTGAAACCGGTCCCAAAGATTGATTAGGATTCGATTTATCCCCGACTCAACCCCACTCGATCACTCCAAAACAAGAAGATGACGAGCAAATCGACAAGTCGTTCCGCTCTTCTGCTCACCTTCTGCAGGCCCACTTAGAACTGCAGTGCCGTACCGGTACCGGTACCACTCCACGACATCGCCTACGCTGTATTGTGTGACAGCCTTGGGTGCGTGGTCAGGAACTCTTGTCGGAGAAGATTGAATTATTTATCTCGTACGGTACCCTTGAGCGAGCTGATGGTGGCAAATCTGCTGACAGCTTGCTTGACAGCCTTACCCTGCCATACTCGAAGCCCAATGAAAAAAAGGTAACCATCTCTGAATGTCTACTCGCACCGTACATGTAGATATCCGCATCGTGCGTTCTTTCAAAGAGCCGACTGCTGCAAGTAGATCTAGGCCTACCGGTACCAAAGGCTTCAATGGAGCGAAGATACAACATGGGGCTGATACCGGTAGGTGGCTGTGCGGTCTGGGAGCGGTCAAATCGTCAAAGCGGTTCCGCTGTTCCGCTCTTCCGCTGTTCCGCTCACCATGTAATTCTGCCGGGCCCAATAGAACTGCCTGTACACTTCACGCCATTGTGTACAGTACTGGTCTAGTAGTTCCCACTTCATCTTGCCCTGGGGCAACTGTGGGTCTTTCGAGGACAAAACTGGCAGATGCAGCGAAGATGAACCCTCTATGTACGCGATTCACCAAGCTTCCTTACTCTCCAGTCATTCAAAGGCATTGCAATAACTAGCGTTCCTAACCCCTTTCCCCAATGACTTCCATGAGTTCCCACTTGCCAGTTTATTCAGTTGGAGGTGTAAATAAAAGAGCGAACTTTAAATCTTAAATCTTGCAACGTAGCGGAACTAATAAGTACTTTAGGCTCTTTGGGGGTAATCGTAGGTTGAAGGCGCTGCAACCGTTCGCGCATCGTCACTGTGATTCATGGTGCGATTACTTTTCACTCTTGGTTGGGATTGACTTTAGGTTTTTATAGTATCTTCAGCTGGAGCTCACGTTTCTTCATATCCTTTTATGTTGCCAACGCTAAGGATAAGTATCTGTTTCACTCGCTCATAAGACTATGCCAAATCGACTTCAGTGTCTGGCTGATAGTCTAGCTACATGTAGTGGTGCCAGTACCGGTACCGTAGCTTATCAAGTGAAGGAGGTAATCCCCCCAAAGGAAGATTGAGGTTTGTTTTGAACGCTTCAGGCGTACTATCGCATTTCTTTTTCTCTGGATGTTTACCCTGGCAGTTTTTGTTCCAGCAGCCAATTGTTAGAAAAGGCCAGGATTATTCCAACCTGCCTGGTACGGTACGGTAGCCTTCAAGAACTTCAGGTTACCTTTGCTACTCGTGGCCCAACTGGTTGACTGACCCAACAGTTGACTGGATGATTCTTGAGCGGAACCTTGTGTAGTTTGTTTGGCGTCTTTGCTTGCAATCGAAAGATGAGGTACATGTATCTTAGCAACAAGGTTTCAATAATTTACAGTACAAGTCAACAGGACTTTGTGCTCTTTGTTGTGTGTTTCAGTGGCATTGTAAGTAATTATTATCCACCAGTCACAGTACTGTAGTCTACTGTAGTTCCTAATTTCAGTACTGTTTGTGTAACCAGTTTACCGGACACATCGCGACGTCCCCATAATTAATGCATAGCACAGGGTCACCGCTCAAGCAATTCCTCAGCGCCTATCTTGGCATCGGGTTCCAACAACAAAGAACCTGGAACCAGCAAGGTAAACAAGGGAAGCGGAAGCTAGTAGTTACCATCGGCTGTAGGGCCTGCATTTCGACTTCCTTGTCAGCACAACAACACAGACCCCTTTACCAACAATCCAGTTTCCAAAGAGCACCTACAGTGTCGATAGCTACGGTTGGAAACCACATCAAAAGAGCTGACTGTTGTTAATCGGTGGCTAGTAGTAGGGAGAAAGAAGAATAGATCTTTGTTTTGCATACCATTACCGATTACAAGTCTGACGATCGAAACGATGGAAGGCGGGGTTGCCACGATGAGAGGCCAACGGCCGAGCTTGACGGAACGAGGAGCTTCCGCTCCTCTATTAAACCGGAGCTCCACCGCCGAGACACCAAGACGGCGACTAGGAGGTCGACAACGACGATCCCAGTCGGTCACTGCCGCCCATTTGGCGACTCCCAGCATGAACAGCAAGGGCAAGGTATCCATGCCCAATCGTCGGCGGCGATCCAAGGATATGAAATCCAATCTTCCCTCGATTCCGTCCGTCGATGAGGACGCCGAAGAAGACATGAAAGAAGTTCCCGATATGGATTGGACGACGGGTAGTAGCCGACACAAAAAGGACGGAGAGGGGAGCACTGGCACAGAGACCACGATGGACTCTAGTTGCGACTGCGGCTCGTACGATGGCAGTGCGGGCTCGGGAGGTGTGGCCCGAGCAGAGGAAGAAAAGCCGGATATGGACTGGGGCTCTCACAACGCCGCCGCCGCCAACACTGGTGCCGTCGCTGTCAATAACAAAAGAGCACAGGGCAACAAGGTTTGTAACAAGAAGGGATCCACGCATGGCAAGCGCTCCGTAGACCTTGACGGCAGCAACAACAAGGGAAGCAGCCACGGCAAAAAGAAAGCAGAGGACAGCAAACGAAGGTCCGGAGGATCTGGACGAGGGCAACGCAAGAGCGCGAGCAGCGACGAGGAGGAATCCAAATCGGAACAGCAACAACAAGGAGAAGAACTGGTCCCAAAGACACCCAGTGGGAGAATGAGGCGCGGCAAGGTGCCGCATCCATCAACCCGTGCCAACAAAAAGGCAGGAAGCCGGAGTAACAGTCCCCGGCTCTCCATGAAATCACCCAAAAAGGCCATCATCAAGCCGGAAGAAAACAAACCCCTCGGAAGCGATTGGTTTGGTGAGCTCAAGGATATGAGCGTTGCCGACCATTTCGGACCGGAGGAAGAGTACTCGTCGGAAGAAGACGAGGATGAGGAGCAGGATGAAGAAGAGCACTTTGAAGTCGGGATCGACGAGGAGCTGAGTCAGAGTGAAGAAGAAGAGGAAAGCGAGAGTGACAGCGATGAAGAAGAAGACCCAGAAAAGCTTCTGGCGGCTGCACAGGAAGACGACAATGATGATGAGAAGCCAAAACGCCCGCGACAGAGGCGACCAAAACAACCCACTCAAGGGCGACGAATGCGCCGTGTCAAGTCGTCGGACGACCTTGAGGGCCGACGCCGACAGCAGCATCCCGTTCGACGCACTGCCAGTCGCGGAGATGGCGGTGGACCCGTGCGAAAACCACACAATCCCCGTGGACCCAAGAGAAGCCAAACCTTTGACGAAGGACGACGTCGCCGCCCGCAGGGCATGGCTCCACCACCCATGACGTCGAGATCGCAACGACGCAAACCACGCGCCAAATCTGTCGTTAATGCGCTTTTGGACGAAGCAGAAGGTGAGCGTAGTAGACGACCTCAGCGCTTGATCAGCCCATTCGAGACGGAGGATCCTATCATTGATGAGCCACCTCCAACACCCAGGCGGGGAGGACGCCGTGCATCCAACATGATCCCCACACAGCAAGATCTTGGTTATGACGAACCACCGCCAACACCCAGCAGACGAGGGCGCCGTACAGTGCCCACGGCACAAGATCTTGGTTATGACGAACCTCCGCCCACACCCAGCAGACGAGGGCGCCGTACAGTGCCCACGGCACAAGATCTTGGTTATGACGAACCACCGCCAACACCCAGCAGACGAGGGCGCCGTACAGTTCCCACACAGCAAGATCTTGGTTATGACGAACCACCGCCAACTCCCAGCCGACGAGGGCGCCGTAGTCCAGCAACGATTCCTACGGCACAAGATCTTGGTTACGGTGCGAACGATGCCGCCGTCCCGCAAACACCACGCCGTCGAGGACGTCGAGCCAGCTTGGGATCGGCAAACACGGTTCCACGTCCTCCAGCATTGGACGACAACTCCATCGGGGCTCAAAGTGAAATGGGAGTACGTGCTCGTATGAGCCGTCGTGGAGTGGGCGGATCAGTCAGACATTTGCAGGTACACGACGATGACGAAGAGGAACTTCAGGAAGATTTGCTGAGCGTCAGCTTGAGGAAATCAAGATCACAACGTCGTCTTTCTGTAGCGGCTAATGTTGTTGTCGACGAAGCAGATGGCTCTGATGATGATGATGCAGAGGACGCGAATGAAAACGATCACACGACCATGAGTAACCGCACCGAGAGACTTCGTAGACGTGGGTCTCAACGAGGCATGGCGATGGAACCCATGACACCTCGCCGACGCCAAAGGTCCAGCTCGGTGCGATCTTTGAATAGACTGAACCACGACAACCTTGACAACGGCGAAACAGATAGCCATGACAATGCAGTGGACGCGAGCGAAAATGATCACATGGCCATGAGTAACCGCAGCGAGAGACTTCGTAGACGTGGGTCTCAACGAGGCCTGTCGGTGGAACCCATGACGCCTCGCAGACGCCAACAGAGATCAGCCTCGGTGCGATCTTTGAATAGACTGGGCTATGACAACCTTGACGATGAAGAAGAGGATCCCAAAAAGGCAAGGGGAGGGCTTCCAACTCTGGGTGCCCACTTTGCATCGGAAAATTCCGTATCCGATGGTCGCGGTAGACGCCAAACTAGGGACGATGGTTCGGTCGGAGCGAGAAGCGCTGGAAGTTTGGGATGCGGAACTGCTCGATCCCGCAACCGCAGTTCATCTCGAAGTGGGCGCTACGGGTACAACGCAGGTCAGGAGCGTCTCTGTCTTTCTGCTGTCCCTTCCACGCCGAAGAAATCTGTCGGTTTGGCAGCGATGCTGTACTGCAAACCGTTGGATTTAGGAGGAGGAAAGGACGACGATGACGAGCAAGATATTGATATCTTTGATGTCAGCGATACACAAAACCCTGCCGAAAGCGACGACGACGATGATGCAAGTGTGGGTTCGGACGACAATCCTGCCGTAGCCGACAAGACCAAAAACAAGAAAGACTACTGGAAGGCCAAGCTTGCCGGGAAAGCATAAAATTTTAACAACATAAAATATCATCAGTTAGAATTTACATTTACAAAGTTGGCAGAAGTAGCCGTCTTCTGCTGATGATCGAAGCAGCGGCATGAATCGCACGGCTGGATAGGTGCACATCGCTTTGAAACGGCCAGTTCTGGCTGCCTCAATACAGGTCACTGCTCTCTAGCTTTGCAAATAGTTGTGTTAGACAAGGATCACTTTGCTGATTATGTTGCGTAGGCCGGCTTAGAATTGGATACATCCACGTGTTTGGTGAAGCTTCGCACAATAGTTTGGTCACAACAGAGTGAAGCTTCTCAGGGAAACATGTCTTGAGGAATCGACGCTGTAGGTTTGAGAACACCATCTTGTTCGGCGGAGATGACAGTTGCGAGCCTTTTCAGACAAGACATGTACACAGGAACGGCTGATTTCACCAATTTCTTTTGAACTCCTCTTGATTGCACACGCAGAGGATCTGCAATAGTTTGACGCATACGCTTGAACTGAGCAACTTGTCCCCCTTTTAGCAAGCTCACAGCCAACCCGTTCTTCCCAGCCCTGGCCGTTCGTCCGCATCGATGAATATATGTCTATTCAGGAGCAACGTAACAGATCAATGGAAGAAAAGACCGGTTAGCTCTGAGAGAAGCGCAGGCAGCTGATTGGTAGCGTTTTGGGCTCGACGAAGAGCTGTGGTATACCGATACCAAACTCCCCTCACTCATACCATTTCAAATGTCAGCACGTACGTACCTTTGCAAGGTTGGGGACATCATAGTTGACAACCGTACCAATCACATCCACACTGATGCCTCTGGACATTCCATCGGAGCAGACAATAACCTGTAGAGAGTTGTTCCCACTCTCGCACCGTTTCATCAAATGAGATCGCTCGCTTTGACTCAAAGAGCTTGAAAACTCGGCCACGGCATCTGGTTGTCCAAAGCCAGCCGACTTCCACAGCAGTTGCAACAGTCGCGCTAATCTATGCGTGGCATCGACACTGGCTGTGAATACCAGGACGACTTGCTTTCGTGTGGTCGAACTGCGGTCCAGTCGTTCCCGGAGCAGCGCCAACAGGACAATGGGCTTTTGCTCCGCTGTGCACTCCACGGTGCATTCTTCCAGTTGAGCGGGTATGCTGTATTTGTTGAAGGACATGTTGTTGTCGTTGTTGTTGTCATGTTTGTGTTTGGAAGCTTTGTTGATTTTACGGGCGTCAAAGTACTTTGGACGCACGAGTCGCAGAGCGGACAGCTTTTGGGGGTCTTTTGTCAAAGTGGCAGAGAACAGGAGCTTGCGCAGTTGCCTGGTTTGCATAATAAGCTGCGAATCGTCTTTTGTGGCATCCATCACCCGACCAATCCAATCTTGGTATGGCTGGCTCAGCAGTCTATCTACCTCATCGACTACCAAGAATCTCAAGTGTTGCAGGGTGAATCCGGGTGTATAGTTGAGATAATCCATGAGTTTGCCTGGAGTGCAGACGAGCACATCCACATCCGTCTGAGTGTTGTTGTGGGTTGTTGTTGTTGTTGTTGTTTGGAAAGCATCCAAGAAATCAGTTTCTTGTTGTTGCCTGGCGTTCTTTTTGTTTTGGGTATTTTTATTCCCAATGGCCAGACCAATCACAATATCCGATCCTCGGCTGTATCTCTGAAATACTTCATAGACTTGCTGACCTGCAGTAATGCAAAGAAATGGCATTAGCTCTCACTTCCAGAAATTTCGTGGCTAGTAGCTCTTGCGACTATCACTTACCGAGGTCTCTGCTTGGGAGGACGACGAGAGCGCGTAATCGTCTCACTTGACGCTTGGAAAGCACATTCAGTATCGGTAGAACAAATGCCAGGGTCTGCGATTATTTGGAATTTGGAACAAACAATCAGAAAAGAAGAAGACTTGTAAGTGAATGACATTGAGAAGGATCCTTTACATACAATAAGTTGGTTAGCTTACTTACTTTTCCAGACCCAGTGGGAGCTGAAACACAAATATCCTGAGCTCTTGTATAGGAGAATCGTTCTGAAGTTACTACATCCGGAATCACCAGCGATTGGATCGGGAAGAACTTGGTAAATCCATCCCTCTTGAGATTGTCCACCAGAAAAGGCTCGAGATTCCATAAGGCCGATGCTTCATCGATCAGTGGCTCTTCCATCATGCCGCTACTAATAGTGGAACTTGTCATGCCGCTACCTGTACTTGTCATTGTGGCATCAACAACAAACCGGTACGAGAGATGGGTGGAGGGTAAGGATTTGAGAAGGAGTTTTGTCATTTTGCGGAACGTAAAACATCTGAAACAACATTTCTTTAGATTTTGGTGTCATTTTACAGTTCGAATCATGAGTTAACTCAAGACTCACACAAAGCCATCCAAAGAGAAGATATCCAAAGCAACCGCCAACAACCAACACCCATTCAACACACATTCAACACACACGGCTGAAGACGATGACAGAAAGAGATTCTCATCAGGAGCAACAGTCTACTGGTAGTACTGGATGGGGACTCTCTGGGCTTACTGGAAACAAGAAAGAGGATGATTCACTGTGTTCGAAAGCCATTGAGTTTGCCCGGACGATACGGACCCAAATATCCGAATCCCCGCACAAGGTCGTGGAAGCGCCGTACGTCCCACACGGATTCCTGGAAGGGGCCGAAGTAGGATGCATGACCTACTTTTTGCTAAAGCCCATTGGGAATGGTTTCATGGGTCTTGTCACTGGGTCACCGCAGTTGAGAGGTGCCAGTCGGCCCATTGGGCTGGTGGTGACGATTGGACAACTCATGGTAGGAGCGCAAATGGCACTCTATGCGGCTGTGAGAAAAGGGTCCCACACGTGGCTGTCCACTCTGGAACAAGTTGCGACTTCCACCACCACGACAGAATCAAGTGACGATAATAATTGGAAGCACAAGGCCATCATGGCAGACGCATTGTGTCGAGATCCCCTCATGGCATCCATCCAGCAACAATTATTAGCCATGACACAACAACAACAAGAGGGAGGCAGCCAAGCAACGTCCACCACCAATGAGGCTGGATCTCCTCCTTCCGTCAAGGATTGGGTGATGGATGCGGACAAAGTTGTCACGGATCAATTGATTCGAACTGTAGCGGCTTGCAACCAGCGAAACTCTCCATCATCACAAGGCAACACCGAATTTCAATGAATTGGCATCTGACCATGTCAAGCTGTTCTGGATTGATCTCTCATGTCATTGTAGTTTGATCTATAACCACAGTTCATATCGTTTTGTAGTTGTCTGTGGGCCATCAGTAGCGCCCGTCTCTGAAGTCAACTCTTACGTCTGAGCACGTTCTGGCGAGAGAGACATGACCGGTTGATTGGTTGTATAAAGCCTCCACCTCCATCTCCCCACCTTGGCAATGACGATGAGTGGCACGAGGGGGGGAATCCTGTGTGTTGGTGACAACCATTGTCGGGATGGCAGTGCTGCAATTAATTAGTGGCTGGTCGTGGGAAATCCATTTGTTGGGGCCAACCGTTGTTTCGGAATGGCCCTGAAACCTCTACGCCCAAAGTGAAGTTGGTCTTCTTCTCCCTTGGATGCATGCTGATCTCTTCTCAATGTGTCAGCCCTTCGTCCATTGCTGATCCCTTCCTATTTCTTGCTTTGTTGGCTTCAACAACAGTAGCACATCAACAGCTCAAACAGCACCACAACCATGTTTCTCCTGGCCGCCCTGCTGGGCCGTCTGATCTTCAAACATCATGGCAAAGGTATTGATAAGACTAATCTAACACTACGTCCCTGAAGATGTTGGGAGCAATCGAACGACGAAGGATGAATCTTCATTCATCATGGCCAACAAACGATCCTGCCTCATTGCAGTGGATACAACAAATTCCTAGCACATTATTTCATTACTGGATACGGGTAGTACGGTGAGGACATCAAATGGATTGGTACTGGTACTCGGGAAGGACAGCGAAACGATCCAGCCCTTGCAGTCAAAGCAAGTGCCACAAACGGGTCATTGCTGCTGTCCAACCCGCGCCATGATTTTCACAAGCACACATGCATGTGTGGCTGTCGCAGGGGAACAGCAAAGGCCCTACGGTATTACAGCGTGAATCCACTCAACAATGTCCTGTGTTCGTGAACATGAGCAATCTTCTCTTCGGCTTCCAAAGCATCATGGGCATTGTTGGGATGCGCCACCGTCTGGGCATGGTGCACAATATGCTTGTGGGCCAGCTCTTGCTTTCCGTGATCGTGGGCCCGTACATCGGCAAGTTTGCTCATTACTCCCGACCTTCCGGTACGCCAAAGGTCGCCCTTTTCTTCCTCCGTGACCATTACTCGGGCATGCGCAACAAGGGAAGGAGTGGCGGTCTTGGTTGGAGTAGAGGAGCTCATGATGATGCTTTTGCTTGACCTACGAAAGTAGCTTGGAATCTGAACGAATGTAGTGCTGGATGTTTCAAATGCTTTTGGATTGAAAATGTGAGCTTCGAAAGTGATAGAACTGTCCCAGGTGCCGAGGTGCCAGTTCTCAAATCGTCCCAACTCCCGTTCGCATTGGTTTGGTCCCCTGTCCGTTAGAATCGCCGGATTTGTCGACCACTTCAAGGCACCAGAAACAATACATAGCGTTTCATGGTGCAGCATCTATAGCCAAATCACATGTCTATTAATGCAGTTGGCGCACCTTTCGCCCGGGGCTTTGCTGGCTGCCTGGTCGTATACATGTAGGAGCATGTTCCCTGCGTGACTTCAAAAAAAGTTGGATGCGAAGGCAATCAATCATCGTAATTCATGCTGAAGAAATGTGACAAGTCAAAGTTCTGCAAACTACGAACTGAAAGGCTTCCTGCGCCATTGCATTTGCTGATTATGCGGAAGTTGACAAAGTTCGCATCAGCTGTAAACAACTTAGTAACCGGGGCACCATTGACGCCGTCGTCCGACCGGACCGTGCTTCGTTCCAGCCGAGCAACAAATCCCGCCACGGAGCCAATATCCTCGTAAGTGGTCCAGTGCCGAGCTGTGGTCAGTCCATCTCGGCAATGCGACGGCAATGCCATAGAATGCCCATCCTGTTTGGCTGGCTCATGCTCTGGCGTGGCTGATGCCAAAAAGAATGAAGATAGTACTAGTACCGCCAAGCTGGCTTTGGGTGCGGAGATTGATATCTTGGCTGCTTAGTCGCTCGCTCGGAAGCGGTGTTTTCGGCATTGACGCAGTGACTTGTTCCAACGTGAGTTTTCCTCATCATTGTTCGCGTCCAGAGTTCGTGTCCAGAAATTCAAAGTTACGTATTTTGGAGGACTTCTACTGCCCTCCTCAGCCGTCCTTGCCTCAGCAACTGCAACCCAAGAAGTCACTCAAATGAACGACCAAGTCGAGTGAGTCTTTGGTTGTCAAGTGTTTGGCCGCACCTATAGGTCCTGCACCTTGGCGGCAGATCCCACACCACTACCATTACGGCCTGCACCTCGGCGGCAATATCTTTTGCACCTCTAGGGCCCGCACCTTGGCGGCAAATCGACCCCTCTAGGGCCTCACCTCGGCGGCAAAAATAAGAATTCTGCACCTCTGGGGGCCCGCACCTTGGCGGCAAACATTCTGCACCTCTTTCTACAGTACAACACTCGCACCATACTCTGATACGATCCCACAAACTCTTCGAAATGAACGACACTACCCTTGATTCGATTCGGTCATACTGTATTGGATACAAAGATTTCGTGTGGCATTATCGGTAGTTTGTGGCATGCCTCCTCGCAGTAGCGCTGCAAAGTCGTGTTGATTCGGTATTCCTCTTGTGCGATCCAAATCGACCCGTTGAAAGGCTTCCTGGGCCAACAAGACTTGATAGCTAGCACTTCCTGGACATCAGATTGAGTATGAATAGCTAGTCCCTTCCAATGCGTCTTGTATCAAACAGTGACAAATCTCCTCTCTCCACCGAGGTTCCCAATACAAGTAGAATGTAAGAGAATGGTACCAAAAACCCAATGGAATTGCCGACATGCACGGCATAGTAGAAGAAAGATTGGGGGAGATGCCAGTGGTTGAAGTGGGAATACAATATTTAGATCCAAACAAGGAGGGCATGCAGCGATGCCAGTGGATTGTACCGTATGGTACTTGGTTACTGTGGTAGCATTCTTTGTGGTGGCCTTTGTTGTAGTAACATGTCATTCTCCTTTTCGATGAAAATCCGGACAAGAAGTACCGTAGAAAACCAAACCAAACCAAACCAAACTCGATCGTAGCTGCACCCACCAACAAGCAAGCCACACCCATTCTCTGCTCTTTCAGATTCCCCGCTGCTCTCCATTCCTCCGAAAGAAGAGACCATGGTGTATTATTATGTACCGGTAGGGCCTGTGGTGAGCCTGGTTGAATAGTCTGTCTATAGCAACGATGCCATCGAAACGAAGTACATGTCAATGCATCGTGGAACCCAGGCGTGGAAATTGAGGAAGATCTGATTGGATGTTTCCCAGTTGTTCCGCGGATCCTCGCCCTCGAAGGCATTGAAGTTCGAAGAACAGAAACAACAGCAAACTTACTGGATGTCGAACGCCCTCCACAAACAACACACAAAAACGATTATACATTCCCTCAAATCAAGTAAGGTAACTGACCATGGAATCTCCATCCGTCTCACCGTTACCATTTGCCTTGGATTCCATCAGCGTCGCAACGGCTGCAACTACCAGTACGAGTGTCAGTACGCTATCGCAGAGCCAAGACGACCACAATAATAGCGATCAACTCTTATTGCAAACGCAATTACAAGCAGATGACGGTTTGATGATTGACACGGTCGAATTGGAATGGGACGACAAGGCGCCGGCTCCATGTGTTTCGCCCGATGAAATCGAGTCGTTAATGGCCCATCAAATGAGTGCGCTGTCGGTCGAAGATCGCGACAAAGTCTATCACGATTTGTACGGCATTACCCCGGCATTTACCGAAACTCCCGAATTGCTCCAAGCACGGCTCGCAGCCATGGAAGACGAATTGGAACAATTGCACGATATTCCCGCCTACGATATGGCCGTCTTGTTGGATCGCGACTATGTCACCAAGGATGAATTTCGACTGCGATTTTTACGTGCCGACCTGTTGGACGCCAAGAAAGCGGCGCATCGCATGGCCCGGCATTTCAAGGCTAAAATGGATTTGTTTGGACGCGACAAATTGGTCAAGGATATTACCCAAGACGATCTCGATGACGCCACACTAGCAGCGCTATACAGTGGCTACTGTCAATTCTTGCCACTCCGCGATCGCGCCGGTCGCATGGTCCATGTCCAATTCGTGGTACCCCCCACCATCGATTTGGAAACGAAACTCAAGATTGATTTTTACATGGTCATGGTCAAATCGGAAGATATCGAAACGCAACGCAAAGGATGTGTCGGAATTCGTTACTTTAATGGACAATGGTTACAGGCACAACAACAACAACAGGCACAACCACAGGAGCAACAACCACAGACCAATAATTGTCTTTGGCAGGCACCGCAGTTATTGACGGCACTGCCCCTGCGGCCATCGGCCATGCATCTCTGTCATGATTCCAAATCCATTTGGTCGCCCGTATTTGCCGTCATGAAGTATGTACTGGGCTATTTTGTCCGCAATCGAACCCGAGAACATTATGGAACGCACGAACACAACTTGTTTCAGCTACAGACATACGGCATAATAACTTCGCCCAGTTGTTTTCCATTGGATCTGGATGGAAAGATTCTCTTGGAATATCATCACGAACTGTGGCGAAAACGACGCAATCTAGAACGATTGCGAGAAGAAAAATTAGTGCAAAAGGAACAGCAACAGGAAGAAGAGGAAGAGGATGTCAATCCACAAGAACAACAATCACAACCCACACCTGCTGACACTAACAACGATACCAAAAACAAAAAGAACAAATCTACCGTCGTCGATCCAGAACCATTCTCCATTGCCGGACAGAACGATGTCTTGCTGGGCCGTGGCAAACGTTTCTATGAACACTCGGGCAATATTCGCTTTCGATACATGGTCGAACATCAAGCGGCAGATTACAATGCCACTGCGTCGGCATCGGCCAAGAAACGCATCACTTCGGATATTGTTGCCAAGATCCATCAGACTGGGGGACGATTCCTCAAGGACGATCGAGATGCGGGATGGATTGAAGTGGACGATGAAACGGCACGGCTCAAAGTCAGTCATGTATTTCGCAACATGCGATTATCCAAACACAATAACAACAATACTGCTGCATGTAGCAACAATCATCATGAGAACAACAACAAGGGAGCCAGAACCAAACGAGCACGGGAGGAAGATGTCAGCAGTAAAAAGACCGCCACTACCACAGCTAGTACGACCAGGGAGGAGGTCTCATCATTCAAGGAAACCAAAGAGGATTTCTAAAGGAAAGCCATAATTCTTGATCTTGGAACAATGCTACTAATAACGAAACAACCACACCAAGACATCTACACAAGTATTAGAGACGATCAATCAAGGCAGTTCGGCCTACCCGCGAAGACCTCTGCTACCGTAAGCAGAGCCAGCCCATCTCACTACTAGCTAGCTAGAGTAGCTATATTGCTCTACATCGAGTCAGATTTGAGTCCCTCTCCTTTATGGCTCGAAGTCTTGTGCAGAACCTGCGTAGGAACCTTTGCCAAGGAGCTTAATAACTAAGTCGCCATCGTGTAGACTATCCAAACCTGTGCGCTTGACAGCTGTGTAGCATCCAAGTGGGATCATCTCGTGCATTTTGTATCAACCTGCTCATAAGAATCAAACCGTTCACACTCCGTCTTTCTAATTTTTGAAAGAACTTGGCCAAATCATGAAGTTTCAGCAGCCAGTGTCCTCGAGATCGTAAAAGTCAAACTGTGGAACGTCATCTCCCAACCAAACCTTCTCCAAGGGCACCTTGGACGTTTCTCGTACGCAGCTGCAGCTGTTGGAACCCACCACTATCCTGAGCTTTGTCAAACGATCGGCCGAGGCTTGGGCGTCATAAGTCAACCAATGCTTCCAGCCCAACACATTGAAGTTGTTGTCATACGGTAGGCTGCAATCAAGCCACCGTTTTCTTCACTGTAGTAGGGAGCTTGGTACATGACTGCCTTGTCATCGATAGTGCTGCCACAAACGAGAATGATGGGACTTCCTCTGGGAGCAGCATTCTCCGCAAGAGCCACGAGCTTGGCGGTGGCTTCCGGGCCTCCATAAATGGCCTCTGCCATTGGAGGATCGTGCAACTATGCAAGGAGCCGCTCTTGGAGACTGGCATTGTCAACCACGGCGGCTGTCACGTACCCCGAGGAGGCACATATACCAAATCCAGAAAGTTTGGTCTTGTCCACATCGTCCCGACCGAGCATGCACTTGGCTGCAGACTGGATATCCGCAGTCTTGACAGTTGGGTCTACAATGAATCTTTTACGAGCTTCCGTCGAAGCACTGCTTTCACCCCAACCAGTAAGGTCAAAGGCTAACGTAACCATGGCACGAGCAGCCAGCTCATGGGCATAAGTGCCTGACATTTGTTCGTTGACAGTTAGTTGTCCAGGCACCGGTCACAATCGCAGCGCGAAGGGGTGATTCATCACTACTAGTAGTTCCCGGTTTGTATATCGTTCCCTTGCGTTCCAAATATCGCTGTCAAAGGAAACAGTCTCCGTGGCAACCGAGTCCAATGAGGGAGTGTTTTGCAAGTTCTCTTTTCGATACTAGCTAACTAGTTTCAGAATCTCTGCTTGCACAATTGGATGTTAAACTTTATAGCTTGATGGCATGGTTGGTTTCACACACATGTATGTGTCTCTTGTTACCTCCTGTCTCCATCAATTGTCCTGTTGCAGAGTACGCCAAAGGGACAATTCTTCAGATCCCCCGCCCTGTACGTTGTCCTTTTTAGGAATGTCCAATGTTGCCACAGCCCAAGCTGATGCCATGGCAATCCCAAGGATTTCCAGGGCAAACTTCGTTGAAATGTGATGCAACGGTATGTCAAAGCAGCAAGAGTAAAACCCAATAGTGATCCACCATGCCCCGTGAAGAACGATCAGTGCCAAGCTGGCAATAAATGCCATACCGCTGGTTGGATCATACACCGAATACGACATCATGAGTGCACATCCAAATCCAGAAAATGCCAGAATGGCATGGAATCTCCTTTGTACCACATGTGCCAGCATCATCGAGTGAGGTACCATGATGATGGTCTGAAGAAAAAAGGCCAATGCAATGCCACGTCGCCAAGAGTCGGGTGGGAGCCGCCCCTTGGACTCCAGCATTGCCAGGACTCCAACATGGAAAAAGGACAAAATGATGACCATGTGATCTACAGAAGTGTCAAAATGTCCTTTTTGAAACAGTCCCAAAGTTGTTTGCCCAATTAGTACGGGGAGCAAGGCAGCAGCAATCCAAAAGCCAAAGAGAAAGAGAATGCGCTTGTCTTTTTCGGGGACATGAGCTTCCATAAATGACTTTCCAGGAGGGAGATTGTTGGCCCGGTGATAGGATAGAAGAGCCACTGTCAATGCCCCAATGGCATAGACCAAACCAGGTACTACATGACCCAAAATCGTCGCTTCTCTTCCTGTAATCAGATTCCAGGTGGGGGGCATGTATGCATAGTTGGTATCCATGTCCATGTCCATGTCCATGTCCATGTTGAGCATATCCATACACATGGTTCAATCAAAAGTTTTGAGATTGGAGGTGTGGACTGTGATCACAGGTACTAAGCACAAATTGTGAGGAATTCTGGCCAGCTAGCTGAGCTACTGAGTCTTATGACTCAGTAGCTGGTGTCCTTCCCTGTCCGGTACCACTGTAGGTACGCTAGCTTCTCAGATGCCAGAGCCCTTCCCTGTCTGGTACCTTTGGGCGCTTGCGGCGGGTTGCCAGACGATAGATGCTCCATTGATTTCACCAAACCACGTTTTTAATCGGGAAACGTCCGTTGCCTGGGCAACGCTACTCCAATTCACGACTGTAAGCAAGTTTGACTGTGACACGCAAGCCAGTCCCAGTTGTCGCTGCGGTCCCATGATCACAAGGGGGGAACGCCTTGATCTGCAAGGTCACGAAACGTGACTAAAAACTTAGTTTCACCGTTTTCTTAGTTTCACCGTTTCTTAGTTTAACGGAAATTCCCGATTTCCGTGAAACTAACTCACTATGTTGAAACTAACTCAAAAACGGTGAAACTAACTCAGAAACGGTGAAACTAACTCAAAAACGGTGAAACTAACTCAAAAGCGTGAAACTAAGTACAATCGGTGAAACTACCACAAAAGCGTGAAACTACCCCAAAAGCGTGAAACTAGCCCAAAAAGCGTGAAACTAACCCAAAAAGCGTGAAACTAACCCAAAAGAGTGAAACTAACAAAAGGGTGAAACTAACACCTTTTAAGTCCCGTTTCGGGACCTTGCTGAGACACTCACTCAGATTGGATTCGATTCGAATGAAGCTTGCCGTACCAGGCGAGTGCCTCAAACCAACTCGGAATGATGCATTGCTTGTTCCCTCGACCAACAGATCTTATCTTCAAGTAAGTTATCACCAGCACACAAGAACAGGTGGTTGCGAGAGATTGAGGTCGGTCTAGCGCAGTTGAAGGTGGTTAAAGTTGGTGGCGGTCAAGGTGATCTATTCTATTGAGAAAGGTGGGTTAGGCAACGTTGGTTTGAGCCCCCCCCCCAGGTAGCCATCAAGCTCACACCTAATTTCTTCCCAGAACGACAAGTTCTGGTTCCCAAAAAGACAAAACTGTGATGCCACCAGGAAGAAGAAGAGCAGCATCATGAGACAAATCATGCTCTCGGTTGCTGGCCTTGTTTTGGAAATAGCCCTCAACTTGGTTAGGGCCCTTGTGAATTTTGTTTGGATGTTTGTCTGTTTGTCCGTTTGTCCGTTTGTGTGTCACAGTTTTTAGCCGTAATCCTAATAATGGTAGCCTAGCCAAATGCAAATTGCAAAAGAGGAACAAATAATAGAGTATGTAGCTAGCTACTGGCTAATTGGCACTGTACCATAGCTCCCAAGCAGCCAACTGATCATTACCTAGCTAGCTAGTAGCAGAGCCTAATATCTTACCTAGCTAGATAGCTACCAAAGCAGCCCACTGTTTATTACCCAGCTAGCTAGAAATGGGCTCTATCCAGCTAGGCAGCAGTAGCAGAACTAGCTAGCTTGGCAACACATTGTTTCCAACCAGCCGAATGATTCCAAACTCGTTGAGGGCTCATGCCTTCGGCAGCCTCAATTGGGGTGGAAATTGATTGATTGGAAGAGAGAAACCTGCGGTACACAGAAGCATTTTGTAAACAGCTCTAATGGGTTACGGTATATAAGTTACCCTTCCCTTTGCTCGGAAAAATACCCCCTCCGTCAAACGTGCAAAAGATTTAACGGGCGTCTGGGCGATGGAGAGCAAGTTTTGACCTTAGAATATAACATGTTTTGTTAAATCTAAGCTGATCTAGAGTGTCGGCAGTCACCACCAATTTAACACAAGACAACAGCACAATGGCGTTCGATCAATCGTCTTCCTCCGCTTCTTCCAGCTCTCGCACAACCTCTTCTTCGACTACAAACAGTTGTTCTTCTTCATCCGCGGGCGGTTCGTCTTCATCGTCTGGAGCCTGAATCACAATTGGCACCATTACCTTTTTTCGAGCACTGTCCACCAACGAATTGTCACCATTGCCTGCGACGATGAGACGAAGGACCTTGTCCCAGCGTTTGTACACATTTCGAAATGGACGATTGGAGTCATAGGTTTCCCATGCCTCCATCACGGTTCGAGCCAGAGCCTCTGCACTAGTCTTTGTGCGTCTTCGGTGGAGCTTTTCGACGTGATTCTGCAAACCCATCCAAACACCAAGATCAAGAAGATTGGTTTCCGGACTCCTTGGGATTTGGTGCTCTACTCGGATGTTATATTCTGCTTGCAGTGCATCAACATATTGTTTGATACAGTCCTTGGTTCCATGGCCGCCTGCGTTGTCCATGACAAGAACAATTTCTTGGTTGAGCGGAACCCAATCATATGCGTCACGGATAGCCTTGCCGATAATCAACATGTGTTCAGCCATGAATTTGGAATCACAAGTTACGTCCTGCTCATATTCATCTCCTTTACGGCGAACAAAAGCCAAGTCAATGTGATCCATTTTGAGTGGAATTTCTCGAGTGAGTCCCTTCCTGAATCGTCCTCTCTTGTTGCCAAGAACTTCCTCCGTTTCTGCCATGGTGAACCATTTCTTTTTGCCTGTCACTGGATGATGCTTTGCATATCTCAAAACCAGGCGATCTCGTGTGTCTTGATCGATATCCCAGTCGAGTTGGCCTTGCACCGCATCCAAGAGCTCCGCCACGGTCATGTTGTTTTGGTGAAGAGACCTCCAGGAGTTGTGAATCTCTTTGTTGACCGTGTAGTTGTCGACAATTTGCTTGAAGAATGTCGATCTTTGGCTTATCTTTGTTTCACTCACTCGTTTCATCATTATCTTTCCATCAAAGTTTTTGTCAGGATGAGGGCAAGCAATTACGCCCATGAACATGACTTTTTTGGTGAAGCGACGACTCGCCAGTCTTCGAGGTGGATAGAGCTCATTGATAGACATTGCCTCTCCAGGTTGCTGCGGAAGAACCTTTCTTTTGCGCCTCTTTGATACCATATAAAACCATTTTTCGTCAAGGAAGATGAAATATGGTGGACCGGAATGAGGTTCGCGATAGTCGACCTCTTCATCGTCAGAGTCAAAACTATCTGCGGCCCGAAGAGCCGCTCCAGCAAGGTAATGTTGCTCCAGCTCCCTCAATCGCTGTTGTGCCCACTCTAACCTCGCTTTCTTCTTCTCTTCAGTCAACAAAGGTCTTGAGACGGTGCTTTTGGCTGATCCTTTCCTGTTTTTGAACCACTTTCGGAATTGCCATGCTGTGAATCGCTTGTCCAAATGCAATGTCTCATCAGCTGCTTGCTTCGAAAGTTCAACCATCTTTTCAGACGTCTCAAACGTAGGAAGCTTCATCGCCAGCCTCCTCTTGTGTCTGAGCTCTTCGGAAGAGTTTAAGCAAGAGCCCTGGATTAGCCTCTTCGAACTGGTCAAGGTAAGCAGATCCATCATTCCCTTCCTTGAAGGTTAGGACATCTTGAATGAGGATATCACCCGTCTTGATCGATCGCTCGAAACCTCTATTCCACAGATTTACTCGATGGCCTTTCGGAGGCGTTGCAAATCCATAGTCATACGCAACAAGCTTGCATGCTGCCTTGGCGATGGCCAGTTTCTTCCTCTTGGATAGACCCGGAATACCGTAGCCCCATGATCTTGCTACACAAAGAATAACCCATCGCATGTTCTTGTCAGGTCTTTTTCTTTTGATGATCTTGATTGTTCCATCACCAAAGCGAGCAGGACGTTCTCCATCTCCATCTCTTGCATCGGAGTCCAGCGTGTTCGCGAATGTCATTGCTGGCGGCTCTTTCCAGTTGGTCGGTTCCAATAGCTCTTGATAGCTATCAAGGTTGAATGGATTGTCCACGTACGTGTAAGTGTCGTCTTCCTCTTGTTGCATGTCAATATTTTCTCCATCCACCAATTCATCTTCTTGCATTGACACATTCTCTTCTTCGTGCACGGCCGGTATCATCGGAGAATCAATCGGCTCTTCATCTAATCTAGGAAGGACGGTTTCGATTTCTTCCACCGTTTCGCCGCCATCAGTTCTTGCAATGTGGCGTCTTACAACAATAGAGTCACTGAAAGAGATTCGTCTCCTCGCATTGACAGGGGTTGCTACCGGAGAAGGGCGCTTCGCAGCGCTCCTTGGACGTCTTGCCACCGAAGAGCGTGGCAGCACATTCTCTTTGTCGTCGTCGTCAGAGCTATCGCCACTGCTGGAATCGACCGGTAAGTAAGATGCCCTCCACTTTGCCATCGCTCTTCTAAGTTTCTTGACCTTCTTGTTGGTGTTGATGCCGGCAGCAATGTAGTGAATGGGTGACTTCTTGTGGACTTGTCTCTTGAGGGTATTTTCGGGGCTGTCGCCGAACACAGGAGCATCAGCAAAAGAGACTGTTGGATACTTTTCATTTGACTGTGGCTTGTTTCTAATGACAAACAGCAACAGACGTGGTTGCTCTTCATTGTGTAGAGTAACTAGTTGTGTTCGAAATGAGACTTTGCTTTTCTTGAAGCGACCGTTTAGAGCGTCGATGGATTGTTGGTTACAGATTACAGGGTGGACAATGCCCTCTGCGTCGATCTGCTTGGTAACGATTGCTGTCGCTAGTAGCATGTGATAGAGAGTGGCGAAGTCTAGCTTTAACACCGTACACAAGCTGTTGTTTGCGGTCGAGACATCTCTAGTCGTCGGCACAACAAACCATCGTTTATTGCTTAGCCGTCCAAGAAGCACTTTCAAGAGAGAGAGTGTTGCGTCAGCTACAATACTATCTGCGGGAATGTCATCGTCTTCCAAAATATCAATAATATCTATACGTTAGCCTACTAGAGGAGTGACGGAGCAACGAAATAAATGAATGTTGCTTCAATGCCAGTCTTCGATCTAGGGTGGTGGGTATTGGCCTTTCACCACCATATCCGCATGCAACACAGCAGAAGCAAATAACTCCGCAGCATCGCTATAAGGAATCAAAAGCCGAATGTTGGTATAAGCCTCGCCTGGAGGGACTGTCAACTCAATTTTGAGAGCTCGGCTGTGGGTGTTTCCTCTCACTTTCTTCGGCTTGGCCACAGTTCAAGCTGTCACAGGCAAAGTAAAGGGGTAGACACGACCGTTTGCAGTGTGCACGACATATCGAAAGAGCGCAGTCCGGTTGAAGCATTGGAGATGAATCGAGCCAGCAACAGATTGAACATCATCTCCGATGGAATACTCCAGGGCTGCCACTGCCTCTGCTTCTTCTCCACGGAGGGAGGCAACGTTATTCCAACTGTCAGGCCGCATCTTCGGATAATGAGGAACCTTGCTTGAAGTTAGTGTTGATTGCTTGTGAAGTGAGCCGATTGCTCTTGGAGTGGGCCAATAAAGAGCGGCAATCAAATTCAAATTCAAACCTCCCTCGGTTTTTATGTGAAGGAGGAGTTGACTCTGACCAATGGATGGATCGATGGACCATTCATAAAATTAGCAACAAGATGTCTGATTACAGCACCAGCCGCATGCACATCGTGCTATCTAGTGGACTTACCGACCCACGCTCCTTGCAGCCGACATCCGAGCGAGACATTGGCAAGATGAAGGACGCCATCACCGAAACGATCCGTCGTGGCACGAAGGACCACACCAGGATGGACGCCACATTCTGTAGCAACGTTTTCTTTGACGACGAGACTTTCTTGGATATGCTTGCTCACGTGAAGAAGAATGCAGGCGTCAAGCAGATTGTCGAAGCATCCCATGATCTCATCACCTGTGTGACAGTCCAAGGGAAAGTAGTCACTATCCGCTTTTACGGCGCAAAGAAGTTCTGTTCCCCCAAGGTCCCCGAAGCCCCCAAGGTCGAAGCTCCCAAGGTGTCAGCCGCAGCCCCCAAGGTGGACGGAAATGAATCATCGAAACCTCCTCGACGCAACCGAGGTCGCTCTGGAAAGAAAGCACCCCCACCGCCACCTCAAGACGACGACGATTCCTTCGAATTTGAGCCTGAATTGTCCCAAGCTATGACCCCTATCAAGGGCCTTGCGTTCAACAGGAAGTAGAGGTCAAGCAGTACCATCGAAAGTCCTGCTATTGCTTGATGAGAGCAGCGGCAATTCGCCATTGTCATGGACGATTGTGTGGTTGCTTTTCGATCGATTGGTTGCAGTCACTCCACTCCGGCAAAGGAACGGCTAAAATAAACTTAGTATAGAAAATCTTAAGTCAAATAACGTTCTGTTAAGGTCAAAACTTGTTCAAAGTCGTCTCACGATAGACGCTCCGTTGAGTCCCGGTCCTTAAATCTTTGAGACATCCCTAGAGGCGCGGTGTGGAGGGTATTTTTCCGAGCAAAGGGAAGGGTAGCCTTTTAACTTTCTAAAGGGCTGCCTTCGCACAACCCACCCTCTGGCGTCTGACGTCAGTTGACAAGAGCGATTTTGACATCACCTCGACCTCGGCATCTCCCCTCAAACTCTGCAACCACAAGACCCATCAATGGCCACAGAGTGAATATCAACATCGACAATACATTAGCTACAGGAATTGAACAATATATTATATTTTGTTATTGGACAATGAGGCAGGTTCTTTTGGTATTCGTTGCAGTGCAAGCTCTGCTCTTATTATTATTGAGCCATTCTGCCGAAGGATTAGCCGCTAAATCCTCCAAGAAATCCAAGAAACTGGCGTCGGCGGGTGGCAAGGGGTTTGGCGCATCATCCTCCGGCGCTGCCTTATTGCACACTCCCGACGACTCGGAAAGTACTCAGAAATTACTGCAGTTTTTGAAATCGCAAAAAGCCAAGGGAGTGGATCAGGGAGTGGCCGAAATTGGAATTCACGACAAGACGGGCCAACGCGGTCTGTTTGCTACCACCAATATCAAAAAGGACCAAATCATTTGCATGATTCCTTCCGATGTTGCTCTGGCACTGTCCGATCCGGCCAAGTTGGGAAAAGATGCTCCGACGTTTGCTCACGGCGGCGCCAACTTTTTGAACATGTATTGGAACAATGCCGAACGTCGTCCCCTGTGGTCCTTTTATCTCGATACGCTGCCATCTGACGCGAAATCGCCGTATTTTGACGCGACACCCGATTTCTTTTCCCCGGAAGAAATCGAATTGTTGGAATTCCCGCGCTTACTCGACAATATTCGCAAACGGCAACACGATATTGAATCACTGGCGGCCGAACAAGGTTTGGACCAGGATCAACTACAATTCGCCACTTGGTTGGTATCGTCTCGGGCATTCAACATTAATTTGGCGGATGCCCAAAATACACCAGAAGAAGAACAATACGACGAACGAGGTCAAGTGGTGACCAAAGCCGGTGCGGGCTTGAACAGCATCCGCGTCATGGTCCCCTTTTTGGACCTGTGCAATCACGATTCTGTGGCACCCAACTGTCGTTTCACCATGATTGACGCCGACAAGGACGAAGCCTGGTTTGCGTTGGAAGCCAATCGTCCCATTCCAGCCGGACGAGAACTCCAAATGGCCTATCGGAGTGGCATCTATTCGTCGGTCGAACTGTTGCTCAACTACGGATTTGTCCCCACGGAAAACAAAGTCGATGCCTACATGCTACGCAAGGGAGGTGAGGGTGTCATTGCGAGTGCCGACGGATGGACGACTACACTGGAGGAAGATCAAAGCATGTTGGACATGCTCCAGAGCAAAAGTGACGATGACAACAAAAATGACGCACTGAAAAAGATTCTGGCATTTCGATCCAATATGAAAAAGGCGTACCAAGACTTGTAGCGGAATGGATTGTTGGCCAGTGATGCATGCATGCATAAAAGGAGTATGGTGCAGAAAGGAAACAATAAGAGGGCGCACGACAGAAAACCTAAATGCATAGATTGAACATTGGCTACAGTCACATCTCTAAACTGTGGTCAAGAAGAGAGGCCACTACTAAGAAGTACCGGTGCCAAAGCCAATTCGTAAAAGGATAGCTTTCATGGGCAGACAGCCATTCCGACTTTCTGTGATAGGTTGAGGGGTGAGTGAATCGAATCTCCAGGAACCGCGCCGTGTTTCGATGATACACGTAGGGATCCAGTGCTGCATCCGTCTCGTCCTGTGCATCACACTTTAGGGTCAGAAGGTTTTTTCAGTGGACTGGTATCACTGGACGTTCGCACAGTCTTTCCCAGGCATCTATCTATCAAATCCTTGACGGTGGCTTGCAAAGTAACTAGCTAGATTGATACCGTACCGTTCAGCCATCCTACAAAATCACATCCCTGGATAAAATTCAATGAGAAAACGTAGATATTTTGATTCTTCTGCTTCTTGTCATTTATAGTGAATTATTAGAGTGTTTAAGGAATCACAGAAAGGCTACCACCCAAAGTGAAACTAGTTTGTTGCCCATGTATCGTGACTTTTTCAGTGTTGGCATTCTAGCTAGCTAGCAACTAGCTTGGGATACCATGCAAATTGTGGAATGCTCCCATGGAAAACTAATTGTGTTGGTAGCAACCTGCAACGCCCAATTTTGCTTCGTATCCCTTCCACTGTTGCGTGGTACGCATGGTATCACTCAACCTCCAATCAATACTTCAAATACAATGGTCAAAATATTGGCGACAATGACGGGGACCCTGAGGTATTGCACGGCATGGAGCAACCCCGCAGCTTGCTGTATCAATGGATTGTTCGACGCATTGGCATGCTGGCTGTTCATGTCATCCAGACCGTATTTGGCCAAAAATCGTCGTCGATTCAAAATCAAAAACGCATTGCACATCAACAGTCCTGCCTACAATACAGTAATAATAATAACACAGCGTGAGTCGTTCAGTATGAAATTGAATGGAGTCGAGTCTCTCGGTGTAGGAAATCAAAGCAGGCCGCTGACAACCATGAAAGCAGCTACCGCTAGATAGATAGATGATTGTCTCGCATTCCATCTAGCTAGCTAGCTAGTAGAGTTGCTTGGCTCACCTTGAACAAATGCCACAAAGAGAAACCCATCGTAGAGGACCACTGCTATTGTTTCATGGAGATCAAAGAGGTTGTTTGGTGTAGAAGAAGATGAAGGAAGATGAGGGTTACGGTTTCAGAAGCTGTGGTATTGAGCCATTGTGCGTCCCTCTTCTTTGAGATCCTGAATCTCCGAAGCTCACAATTTCAATTTTTTTGAGTTTCAAGCACCTGGCATCAAGCTCTCTCTCGGATGCAGCTACCTAGCTCCGTCTTTGCTACAACCTTGCAACCAAATCACCAAATACAAGTACCGCAGTGAAATCAAATCAAATCGAATCATGAGCATGTCGTATTCATCATCTTCCACCGTACACGGCAAAAAGAAAGAGGATTCCAAAAGCAGCAGCTCTAGTTCCGGTCGTTCCATGGCACGGGCGCAGCAGATTGAGGCGGCTCTTTCCGACTTGGAATCCTCGTTTGAACGTGATAGTCACTCGGCCCGATATACGTCGCATGTTCTCGATATTCGCAGCAACAGCAACAATAGTGGAGCTGACGATATCGACGACTTTTCCATTACGAGCCGTCCGAGTTCCGCGGGGTGGTTTGATGATGATGATGATCCAGATGCTGGTATCGGTACTACTAGTACCACCGAACCTATTACTGCAAAAAGTGACAGCAACGACGACAGCATGATGATTAATTTGTGGCAACGACAACAAGACCTTCGCGAAACGGTCGATCAGAGTGTCAATTTGATGGACCCCAAGGCGGCCAAGTACGAGGGAGATGCGCTTCGAAGTACCGGTTTGGAGGGGTTTCGCGATTTGAAGAAGAAGAACAGTCGCTATTCCAACAAGGGGGATTCTTTCAGCTTTCCATTCTTGCCATCTGGATTTGGAGATTTGCAGTTGATGGAGACTGAAATCAAGAGACGAGTGCATGATCCACAGAAACAGCAACAACAAGACAACAACAGGGCAGGCTGGAAATGGATCCTTCTTGTAACTTGCTTCTTTGTGGTCGTGGCTGTTTCGGTGACTGTCACAGTTATTGTGGTAGAGCAACAACATAGCAAAGCAACTCACAGTACTCAGGAATATGATGGTGCTGTCAAGACTATCCTTGATACATCATCTGCCCAAGAGAAACAACGACCTGGTGTTGGCTTACCCTCTGAATCTCGCTCTTGGGATGATGATGCCATGAACTCTGTTGGAAGTGATGAAGGTGAAACTGCTCCCCCGGATACTTCTTCAGGCACTAGTAGGAGCCATGATTACGAAGTAATCACCAACAAGGACAACATACCAATGTTTCGTCCAACAACGGTGACTCTGCCAGCCAAGACCCGAGCTCGTGCCATGCTGGCTCTGCTACTGGAATTTCAAGTTTCTCCACCGGATACCATTCTTGGCAAAGACAAAGGATCGGCAGCGTACCGTGCGTTGCAGTGGATTGCAGATGAAGATCCAGCCAAGCTACCCTTTCCCCATTTCTACTATCAGTCGGCCCATACGGCAAAGCTCAGTCGCCACGATCAAGAACAACCGGAATGGAGAGACGACTCCTTTGCCATTCAACAGCTCCTGCAACGCTACGCCATGGCCGTGTTTTACTATTCGCTCGAAAAGCCGCACACCACCGACGAGGCCACCGCCGACCAAGTCCTGGAGGACACGGTGGCAGCACTCAACCACGAAAAGCTTCAACAGAGTTGGCTCACAAAGGATCATCTTTGCCATTGGCGTGGCATTGATTGTGGAACCTACGACCATGGAGGGAAAGCGGGAGTAGAATCTATTCACATGTCGTCGGTAGTCAGCATCAATTTGACGCGCCATCACCTCTACGGAACGCTGCCACCCGAGTGGTTCTCGGGTACAGCTTTGCCAGACCTTGCCAGTGTTGACTTATCGGGCAATCACCTGCATGGGTCTCTTCCAGACGTTGTATCAATGACTCCCAGACAGGAAGACGTGGACAACAATAGCAATCAGCACAAGATCACAACTGGCAAAGCCGAATACACTTTGCGCTTCCCACAAAACACCAACAGCAGCTTGGTGTCCTCAC